CCTCCGTTGCCTCCGTTGCCTTCGTTGCCTCCGTTATCTCCATTGCTTTCGTTGCCTCCGTTGCCTTTGTTGCCTCCGTTGTCTTCGTTGCCTTCGTTGCCTTTGTTGCCTCCGTTACCTTCGTTACCTCCGTTGCCTCCGTTGCCTCCGTTACCTTCGTTGCCTCCGTTATCTCCGTTGCCTTTGTTGCCTCCGTTGCCTTTGTTGCCTCCGTTGCCTTCGTTGCCTTTGTTGCCTCCGTTGCCTTCGTTACCTCCGTTGCCTCCGTTGCCTCCGTTGCCTTCATTGCCTCCGTTGCCTCCATTGCCTTCGTTGCCTCCGTTATCTCCGTTGCCTTTGTTGCCTCCGTTGCCTCCATTGCCTCCGTTGCCTCCGTTGCCTTCGTTGCCTTCGTTACCTCCGTTGCCTCCATTGCCGGAAGGAGGAGATTCGTTTTCGGCACTAGATTTGTCGCTTCCATTGCCTCCGTTGCCTCCGTTACCTCCGTTGCCTCCATCGTCTCCGTCATCTCCGTCATCTTCGCCTTCTGAATCGCCTTCGTCGTCGTCCTTGCATTCTTTCGGAAGCTTTTTACCATGTTTATCAAGCATGAAATTATTAGTATATCCTAACGCTTTCTTATTTTCCTCTTCACAAGAAGGCTCAGTTTCTTCTTCGGGTTTACATTCCTTATCTTTCTCCTCAGTTTTATCTTCCTCATCTTCCTTTTCAGTTTTACATTTTTCATCTTCCTTCTCAGTTTTATCTTTCTCATCTTTTTCCTTAGATTTATCTTCCTTCTCAGTTTTATCTTTCTCATCTTCTTCCTTAGATTCATCTTCCTCATCTTCCTTAGATTCATCTTTCTCATCTTCCTTAGATTCATCTTCCTCATCTTCCTCCTCAGGTTTACATTCTTCAACTTCCTTCTCTGTAGTACATTCCTCAATTTCTTTCTCAGTAACTTCCTCAGTACATTCCTCTTCAATAACTTCCTCGGTACACTCCTCTTCAGGAGCAGGAGTTTCTTCACACTCGTCTTCATTAGTAGGCATTTTGTTATAATTTACTGTAATATAAATCAGCATTAATTGTACTATCCGATGCAATTTAGCTTTTTTGACTCATAACATGTTAAGTATAAGTAGTTATATCCAATGTATTTTTGCCTGCTGAATACAAATCTGTTATTGAAATTTTACTATTATGTATAATTTAAAAAAAAATTATGCCAAAGAGGCCAATAGATAATTTTAAGACGTTGTAAGGCAGCAAATTTTTTTTCTAAATTTTGTTAGTATCAAAACATCGCCTTTTAGTTTTATGATGCATTTCACTTTGTTTCAGTATAATTTTTTGTTTTAGAAATACAGCACAATTTAAAAATAGCTTTCTTCCTATATAATACACTAAAAGAGCATTTTATTCCGTCGTTTTTCTTAAAATTTAAACGTAATAGTCAAATTTGAACAACGAATTTGTGTTCAGTAGGCAAATATACACAGGAAATGATTATTCACACTTGTGTTGCAAAATAGTATTTGAGTAACCTTGGTGTATCCTTTATTATATATATATTTATTAGGTAATCGGAAATATACGTACCTTGTTCTACCGTTAGCATACTCTCAACTGAAGTTGAAGGACGAGCTCCAGCATTATCACATGCCAACATCATCATTATTAAGGAAAATGTGATCTAAAAAGGTTGATAGAAATCGTAGTATCTTTGAAGTATGTCCAGGTTATTATTTGAAAAAATTGTAACAACAATCACTGAATAAAAACTTACAATGGATTTTAGGGAAGCCATTTTTTAAAGGATCTTTTCCTAATTTTTTCTTGATTTTATGGTACAAATCGATGACTAAAAAGAAACAAAATGAGAGAGAAATTATAATATATTAATTTATCTTAAATTTAACTATATACACATGTCTTGAATTTTTATTTAAATAATGTATATCTTCCTGATATATGTCAGGGAGGCTGTCAATATAGGATATAAAGAGAAACGAATATTTACTATTGTTCTGTTGGTAAAAACTACATATATATACTATTGCTATCAAACTAATTATATATATATATATATATAATATAAGATAATTATATACAATTATCTTACGTAAATATAATGTAAACTATATGTAAATGTAGAATATTCTATATCTAAATTGCTAGAAAATTATATATACTTATTCAACTTTGAGTATAGAGGAGTTCTCAAGGTCAACTTAAAAACTTTTTATGGAAATTTCCGTTTTTCATCTTTTTATTTTTATATTCTTGTAGCTGACATTGAGATCTTTTCAAAATATTACAATGAAACTTTTTTTGGTCAAGTTTTTTTTCGAAATATGAGATGTCAAATTTCAAGTATTGCTGAAACAATTCTTCAAGTATTGAGAAACAATGGAAAAGTTATAAAACATTTTTCTTTATAATATAAATACTTTTTTCTAAGTTTCATCTAGATCAAACACGTATTATAATAAAAAAGAAATATTTAATTTTAATAAAAATAAGTAGATTTTTAAGTGTATATAATTCTGTATTAATATTGTTCAGTTTGAGAAAAGAAATTTAACATAAAAATATAAATATTAATTGAGCTCTCAAAATTAAACAATACAATACAATACATGACAATAACAACATATACATAGGATATATTAATGCGCGAATTTCTATATAATTAACAAAAATTTTTCTACATAGGATATAAATGTACAATAATTGTTTGTACCATATTATTAGTACGTTTCGGTTTTCTTCAAACCATTATCAGCAAATTATAAATACAATTGTAGATGTCTTTACAATGTTCTTATGACAATGTTGGAATTCATATCTATGTAAGACTGAGGATGAGCATTTCTTTACTTTCTGATGGGAAGTAGTCGTAAGTCTCTTCGTTAAAAAGCCAAGTGACTGATTTTATTCTCAACAGATTACAATTCGTTATTCCAAATGTAGAAAGTCAAGTTGTACAAGGAACGATAACAAAATTATAATATTTAGTTTTCACATTATACGATATAAAATTTATGACATATGTTATCCCAACGGCAGTCGGACAACTAAGAGAGGCATTAATTAAGATAGCTAAAAGCTAAGATTGAGAAAATCATTTTGAAATGTAACTTGTCAACATTACTTACAGCCTTAATTATTGAAAAAAGTAACTCATTATTTGTAACGCGTTGACTCGTTACTTTAACTCGTTATAAGTAATAAATTATTTTTATTCAATAGACTACGCATAATGGACAAGTTTTCAAAAATGATTTTTCTCTAACCTTAGCTTTCAATTAAAAATATCAATAATAATTTTTTCAATTATAAATATCATAAAAAATTGCTTGACATTACCAAATCATTATTATAAAAACGATAAACGCGCGTTATTTCCTATCCCTGTTAGTAAAATGAAATTTTACATACATTGGGATATGTTGGCTCGTTTTAAGAAAAGCTTAGTTTGAAATATTATTAAATCGCTTATTATTAAATCACACGCCACGCGTATGAACATTGAGTTACAACTTAACTGGACAAAACGCTTTATGTTTAATATTTTTATATTAAACATAAGGTAAGCTACAATTAAAATAATTTAAATTTATTTTTGTAATAACACATTTTGCTATTTGATTATTACAAAACCTCAAAAGATATAATCTTTACTAAGAATACATATATGCAGTCTGTTTTTTTATGTCTATTACATTTTCATTAGTAATATAGAATTTATTGTATAGGCAACTTATGTTGTGATATCAATTTACATCACTATCAGGGCAAGCTGACTATAATGGTGCCTATTAGTATTTTATTTATTGCAAAAAAAACTATACAATATAGTTAGAACCATTCCTGGCATAAAAATATAGAGAAAGATTTTTTTTATTATATTAGTACGTTTTAATGATAATAGTTACAATACTTTAAAAAGTTTAATGCCGAAATTGTGAAAACTATATCAACAAGTTCCAATTTACAGTATATATTGTTTTAATAATACATATCTTATTAAATAAACTAAAATAAATATTACAATTATTTCTCATTGAAACATGTTATAAAGTGTTCTTTTCTTAAAAGTTTGATATTAAAATATATTCTCATACATAAAATAAAATTTTATATAAAATTAAATATTAATAAATTCTTTTAATTTTTTAATCAATTTATTTAGTTTTAGAAATTTCTATCTAATTTTTTACACGTTGCGTTGCACCTACTTTTGTCAGCATTGCAATTAACTACCTGTAATTAATTATTATTTAACAGCTAACTTAACGTTTGGAGATGATTGTTTTCCATGCCATTGCTATTATTACCATCTGCAACTGTAAATCATCTTTATCCGGATGTTAAGTTCAAAACATGGTAATAATTTAAGCAATTTAAAGATAAAGGCGAAATAATACCGAGAGAATAGCTTCCAATACAAAATCACTAATAATTTTTACAGCGGTATCTGAATACATTGTAGGTAACTCCTATATCAGAGTTTCGATAAGGTATTTAATGGAAAGACATTGAACAATTCGGAAATTAGCACAGAATATTGCTAATATTATCCAGAATTATTGTTGCAACATATAGATTAGTTTAAATAAAAGTGACTATAATCGATTATAATCTGATCAAATGTGTTTTCTAATTTTCTCTCGATTGATTACTTTTTCATTATATTTTTTAATAAAAATAATAAATAACGAATAAATTATTTATTATTCACATAATTCGAATATATTAAATAATTTATT